TGAAGTGTTTATAGACAACGGACAGCAGGCAGATTGGTTGATAGTTGCCAATGTCGTGAAGGTCTCTCTTCTTAAACAACAACCCGGTCTTGCTAGTTTTCCATTGAATGGAAATCTTGCATTCTAACAGGTAGCGAGTGAAGAGCCGAGCCAAGGTGTTGATGAGAACTGACGGAAGGTTCTTCAGGTGTTCTGGTCTAATCCTGTCTGGTCCGGGTGTTGTTTGGTTCTTCACTGACGATATAGTAGGATTTCGGAAGAGAGGACCGGTGGAACAACATATTCGTCCTCTTCCAATTTATATGCCTGTAAGAGGACAGGGCTAGCGAAATTATTAGAGTAGTACTGGTAGGTGATTTTCTCCATAGCCCTTCTGGAAAATGTAAGTGTACTGTCAGGGTAACACCTTGGTCTAATGATTGGCGAAGCCTCGCTGGGCTTTGCAAATGCTCTTTCTAGCTTCTGCAGCTTCTGCCATGACTGCTGCTCTTCTCTCTTTGAGGTCTTCTCTTATCACTTCTCCGCAACTCTTCGGAAGATCGTACGTAAGGTTTCGGTCACCTGCAGCTCGTGCGATTCCACGATGACGTATCAGCTCGAATGTCTGCGGAGACAAGCGTTTCTTCGTGATTTTAGGACTCTCGGCTTTCACACGCTATGTGAGGATAATCAACGAGGCGATCGTATTCTTCGTTGATGTTGTCGAGAGCGGTATCTTCCCAAGAGCCGGTTAGTGATTTGTATACATCCTAATTTATGGTAGTTCTGGGACTTCGTTTTTTAGAATTTAGCGGCATCTTCTCCTCTGCGCAAAAACGGAGGGCTGCCGAAGGAGGCAATGGTGTGACTTCGTGTAGAACTATGGAACAACAACGGCATCGTTCAGGCAAAACCTTCAATTTACTAGACGTGGTCTATTTGGCTATGGTACTCTCCATTGGGAGACTCCCACGTCCATCGCTGAAAGTGAGTCTTTTGGAATTGTGAGTTACCGTGGATGATTTGGGTCGTCATGATGAACTCAGATCGCCTCTTACCCTGTTCATTTCATTCTGGTAGATGGGTTCCAACGTGACGTAAAATCTTTGCCAATAACCTTAAGAATGATCTCCTCTTGAGAATTTTTCGAGGTTCATATAGAACGCTTTGACTTCATCTTCGTCGTAGCTTGACATTGGTGCATAAGCAACGAAGATAGTTAGAGCCGGCATAGAACCACATTGATTCAACCGTAATCGCCCAATAAGGGTTGTTAGTTGCTTAAAGGAAACGATGTTCACGGTCAAATTCGATTTGACGAGGACACCAACATCGCCCACACCTCTGCTATAGCATAATCCAACGAACAGTTCTTCTCCGGTGTCATAAACAGCGTGAGAAGGATGGCGTCTTCTCGTCTCAGCCAGGCCAATGACATCATACCTTAACCTTCTTGCCTGGATCAATAGATCTCCTACAACGGATTCGTGAGCAAGGATTCTTGAATTTTAGGTACAGATGGTCATTTTAGTACGTTCGATCTTGGCAGCCTAGTTTGGCTTTGAGATTTTAGCATCTTCTCCGTTCTCGCTCTACCTGGCGCTTCCGTAGCAGGGCTCTGTCGGGGTCAGGGGAATGAGGGCCATATTTGTTACTGTTTTGGCATATTCATAACCAAGTATAGCTTACCAGGCTCAAAACGTGGGAGTTGGGTAGTGGCTTGCCAGACTCTTTCGGAGGAGCAGGAGGAGCTGATTTGTTGGAGGCGACTCTAAACCGCCTCCCATGTACTTCCCAGCCGCTTGATTGCAGGCTTTTGGACGACTTGACTCGTAGAAATAGAGTTTTGTCAGGTCGGCGCTGCTGAAGCAGGGCGCTAATTTCCTAAATCCACCTGCGTCTCTGAGAAGCGCACGGTCGCTTTTGGTTCGCGTTTACTCCCCTATCCGCCACCTGGGGACGCGCCACGTGCCTTCGCGACAAGCCTTGCAGGATCCCTCATAAGGGAGGCCCGTGGTTCATACAGTGACAATCACATTCGAATACAGTGATGTAATACCGCAGCTGGTTGATTACCAACAGCAGACATTGTAGAAACTAAAATATATAATTTCAATGCTGACGAAACTCAAATTCGAATATGAAATTAACATACATCCTGCTGTTTGCTCAGCAACAGTATTCATTGCCGAAGCTAAAAAGGAATGTGGCTTTGAGATACGTGTGTCCGATCAGAATCGCTTAAGCTTCAAGATTAGCTACCTCCGGCGGGAACAGGTTGTGCTCCAACTGCGGTCATAGTGGAGACTAAAAAGAGCGTTTTCTTAATATCAATTACTAGATGCATCTTTGTGACACTCCAACTTAATGATGAAATAACCAACGTCCAGCTGTTTGTCCAGCAATAGCAGTCATCGTCGAAGCTAAAAAAAGAACATGATTTCAGAACCACGTGTGATAAAACAGAAGGCTGTAAGAAGAACCTTTAGCGGGACAGGCTGCGCTCCGACTGCATTCATAGTGGAAGCTAAAAAAAGCTATTTCTGCATCTTTCAAAGATAACAAGATGTTGATGAAGCTCGAACTCAATGACAAAACGACATGCGTCGTGGTTGTGCACTAACAGCAGTAATCGTTGAAGCCGAAAAACATGGTTTCCACCTGAATATGTCTGAACAATCAAATGAGGAAGCAGGAATCTGGCAGGAATTCTGCTGTGTAGACCATGTCTCACCCCCATCGGAGTCACTGAAGCCCATTGGAGCACCATATGTTCTCTATCCTATTCTTCGCCGACTACGAAAAAGCGTTTGAAAGTGTCAAAATGAATGCAGTTCCATCAGCGCTTGTCAGTCAATGCAGAACTGTCCTATACACAAGCATAAGCTGACTGCTATCATGACTGTATCATAAAAATAAAGCTTTTCGGTTGACTTCCACCATGAAGGATAAATTATAAAGCTCTCGGAGATGATCAATCCCTAAGAGATGCGCCATGCATTCGTCAACATTCGCGGTAGCCTCCCGCTGAATCGAATCAGTTTTGCTTATCTTTCAATACAAGTCTGAGACCAGTCTGGTAGCAATTTACCCTGCCCGGAGGGATGGATAGCATGGTGAGCCATGAGCGCCAGATCGAGCTATCTTCCTTATGTGCTAGGCAAAGCACCTCTAACCACTGTGCCATATAAGCTCTCCTCCCACCATACTTATGGTAAAACGAGTACGACAAAATGGCACTATATCGCCAAAGCTGTTTAGTGACGCGCTGTCATTAGTAATAAAGTCGTTCCATTGAGACAACAGAGGCAAAGGTATGGACAGAAAACCTTCGTAAAAGCTTCCTGTCTTGTATAGCATTGTTATCTTGCCGAAAAAATACAAGCTCAACGAAGGAAAATAGATTAGGCTGCGTACAAACATAAGATAGACCGATCCATGAGGTTCCACGATGCGAAGGTGAAGAATTTTGAGTGGATGGTCTTTTGATAGCCGAGACTACCTCGTGACGTATATCTTGGATGTTCAATGAATATGGAGAACAACATCGTGGAAGAATCGAACAGGAGAGGGAGAGCAACGAGGGCTGCATTCAGGGCTTTCAAAGAAGCCATCGACTAGATGTAGGACCTCAGGCTCTGGGCTCACTTATCTTATTCACAGCTCTTCCAGCACTCTGCTTTGCGGCAAAGACGTGGCCTGATACATCGACCACGTCACAAAATCTGTCCACCACCCATAGGGAATTGCGGCTAAGTCTTCGGAAGCTAAATCGGCACTGATAACGTCTGGCCGACTAGCTCAGCTCGGATCTTCGATCGTTGTGAACTAGAAGAAACATCGGCACAAAAGCATAGGTGGTCCGATTATATGAGAACAGAACAAATGGTAGATGGACGGTAAGAATAGTGGAGTACACTTTGAGAGAACACACGTGCTCTCTTGGAAGCCCATTCAAACAATATGCTGACGTTGGCGAACTTTAGCTATTTGTATCTGCTGACGGCATCGCGTCTACAATTTCAGAACGAGCCTTGCGTACGTTACCATGTTCGAAGCAGACCACTACTATGGACGGTAACTGAATTACAGAGAAGCGGATGGAATTTATGCTGGTACTATTACTGCCAAGGAAGACAGGCTATCCAAGTATCCATGTGAATATGTTCCAAAAGACTTGCTTAATTTGTAAAATGACGTACTTCAGCGGCACCAGGCTGTGCCCCGACTGCGGTCACTGTACAAAATGAAAAACTTATGCAATTCTTGAAGGGAAACTAAATTTCAATTGAAATTGAAGTCAGAGTGAAATAACCCACGTTCGGTTATGCACCAACAGCAGTCATCGTTCAAGCTGTAAAGCGTGGTTTTTAAATGAGTAGATCTGAGAGGAGTTGTATAGCATATATGAAAACCTACTTCCACCAGGTTGTTCTCCGACTGCGGTGATACTGGAAGCTGCAAATGTGCAGATTGGCATACTCAAGCATAATCACTCTAATAAATTTATACCCACTTCCACCAGGAGCTCCAGGTAGCGCAATGGACACTGTCATAAGGGGGACGAGGAGACGCATTTACAGATTTGAATGACAGCTGCGCTTAATCACCTCATAACGTATCAAGATTAGAATTAGCTACTTACGTTTAAGCCCTCCAACAGACCATTCTCCAACTGCAGTCATCAGAATTGTGTCTAGACATATGCGAAAGAACAAAAGACATCCACACCACCCTCTTTAATTTTCTCACAGATCTAGTTCCTTAACACTGGAGTCCTTTATCTACATGAACTAAAATGAAATAAATCTATATGAACAACTCAGTTTCCCTAGGTATATACGAAGCATCATAACACTGCGAAAAATGCAGTAAATTTGCTAGAAATTCCTAGTATTAGTTATAATATTGGCTGTTAGCTTAGGTAGGTTCATAAAGCGAAATCGTACACCCGACCACCTGTTAAAGGTTGGTGGCCGATAGCTAAAGAGATGTTGAAGACTGAGTGGTGGTGCAAATGTGCATCGGTGGTGTAGTGGTAAGCACGCGTCCCCGGTATGGATGAAACGAGGGCTCGACTCCCACCTGAGGCCGTGTTTTTGCACACCACTTAATTCTCATCGGTATGTACGAGACCAAAATAAGCTTTTTTGTAATCACCAATCAGTAAGGCGCGGCAAAGAAATTGTCTGTATGGAACAAAGAATACATGGGTCCAGAATAAGGCACTTAAGAAAGTCAAGGTTAAAAAGTGCTTTGATCGTGTACAGCTCAAAATTAGGATAGATTGTAGTGAAAGGATTACAACATGGACTACCCACTTCCTAGCTGCGCTCAACAGATGTCATTGTTGATATTAGAAAAAATTATACACATCGAAGTATGCAGAAGCAAACTATATATTTCTAACACTCTGTATTATGTATACACCCACTTACAGCTGGCTGTCCGGCATCTGCCGTCGTTGCAGAAGCTAAAAGAACGCGCGCTTTGAAGCAGGCATATCAGGTAGCAAGTAAGCCGCCAAATTTAAACAAAGGTGTCCCAGAATTCTGGTATGTAAGGCATTAGTTGACTCTTGAGAAGGCACCGTTGTTGACAACATCGTCAGAATTTGATCGATTCATTCAATATATCCGTGTTAGCGCTTTGAAATCTGAAAGTGCTGAAGTCACAACGAGACTCCTGTCTCCTCAGACACTCGACCTGATACGTCAACGTGGTATCGCACAAGCTACAGCCAACAGAAATCTCATGTCTGGACTTGCGAAACGATGCAGAGGAGCAATATGAGAAGACCTCAAAGAGAGACGAGCAGCAGTTATGGCTGAAGCTGCAGAAGCTGGGAAGATCCTTTGTAAAGCTTGCCGAAACTTCGCCAATTACAAGAACAGGATGACTGCACTCCGTCGCTTTGACGGGACACTCACAGCTTCTACAGGGACAATGGAGAAAATCAATCACGATTACTACTCGGATATCTTCACTAGCCATGTCCTCTTACCGTCATAAGATTTGAAAGAGATGCCTGCCTTTCACCTATTCTCCTTTCCGAAAACCGACACGCTATATCGTCGATGAAGGACAAAAGAGCACCTGGTCCATCCAGAACACCTGAAGAAGCTATCGCCAGTTCTCATCAGAACCCGGGCTCAGCTCTTCACTCTTCACCTATCAGAATGCAAATTTCCCAGGCAATGGAAAATCAGCAACACCACGATGATATTCAAAGAGGGCGACCTTCATGATATAGGCAATTATAGCGCAATCTGCTTGCCGTTCGGCACATATTAATTCTTCATCTGATACTTTGGAGGACGAGCTTATAACATTCATGGAGATTCTTTCTTTCTTTTAGTCGCTGAAAGGGCTATATGCAACCTTTAAAAAAATGTGGGCAAAGCTATTTGTTTTTAGCAAGCTTTTAGAAACCTGAACAACGTGAACAATTTCCCAAATTCACGATTTTGTTTAAAGAGTCAAAAGTCATAAGTTATGAAAGCTGCATGATTATATATATATATATATATATATATATATATATATCCCATTTCGCTGACGGAGACTGGTAGATTTAACTCGCTTCAATCAATATAGTTCATTAAGAGCTGAGATGTTACCAAAGTTGACAAGCGCAATTATTGCTGGTTGTGTGTTGAAGTCACTGCATGGTATACAGTTACGAACGTATCAGCAATATCATTATAGCAAGCAACCACTACCTTTTACTTTTCTTTGCTATAACTTTGAATGGAAGTTAGACTGTCACCCTAAGGTAGTCATAATTGAGAGAAGGTCATGCATTTGAGAAACGACCTCTTTTGCTGAATAAGAACATTTCATAAGAGTATCAGTAATCATTCGAAAGCTCAAAACTCGGGAGACTGCTCTGCATGTCTGTTTTTTGAAAAAGCTTTTTTACACCGCCGTAACAAAAAAAATTTGTTCTCCGCACACGTGTTTTTCTCGCGGTGTAGGCTCTTCCCTTGAATTACACATATCTATTCATAACGTAATTTTCGACGATTCCAACTCTGTGTATTTCCTGAGAAAGCCGTTTCACTTCAGTGCGGCGGTGAAAACAAGACCTAGTTTCACACTCGGCGCGCATTGCTTGCGGCTAAAGTGTGCGTCGCCGTAGATCGATACACGACGAATCGATCGCGCTGGCACGATCACATGAGTAGTGTGATTTTTCTTAAGAATTTCCACTCACTGGATCGAACGTCCAGATAAATCGTATGACATGATACTATAAGATTTTCTCTGTACATTCATATGCTCTTCGTGTTTCCAGGGAAATATAGACTCTATAATGATAAAGTGCAAGACGGGGTGGAAACGTTTTATTTTGAATGCTACAGCGCTATAAGAGGGCCTTGCGAAAGACGAGCACGTACAACAATCTCCCGAGGTTTAAGGTTACGAATAATTGCCAAAACTCTTAAAAAAATTCTTGTCAGGCAGATGGAGTCAATTTTTTATTTGTTCTCGTCTTACAGAAAAGGACCGTTAAGATGTTCGTGATATCAAAATTCAATCAAGAAGTAACATAAGGCCTACTGGTTGTCCACCAATACCAGTCCAGCAACCGAGTGCTACATCACCATGGCTAGATAGCTGCCGGTTGTCCGGCAACAGTTGTAATTGTCAAAGCTCAAAAAAACGTGGTTTTGAACCAACTGTGTTCAAACTGAGGCGACATGTTATGAAATAACAAACCTCTAGCGGAAACAGGCTGTGCTCCAACTGCAGTCATAGTATCGACTGAAAAATACATTCCTGCAGCTTCCAAAGAATAACTATGTTGATAAAACTCTAAATCCATGATTGAATGACGTATGTCCTGTTGGTTGTTCGGCAACAGCAGTCATTGTGGAAGCCAAAAAAGTGGATTCAAACTGCTTGAGTCGAAACGGAATTAATGAGAGCATGATTTGTCATACCTTCAGTAGGAACAAGTTGTGCTCCGACTGGCTGCATAGTGGAAATATAAGGAACGATTTGTGCAGCTTTCAAAGAGGAAGAAAATGTTAATAAAGCTCGATTCAAGTGATTAAATGACGTACGTCCTAGGTGTGCACAAACAGCAGCCATCGTCAAAGCTGAGAACATAATTTTAACATACGTAATTTTAGACAATCAAATGAGCAAGCAGTAGTCTGACAGAAAATTTTGCTGCGTGGACCACGTCCCAGACGCTTCAGGGGTTGTTGAAGCCCATCGTAATACCATATGTACTCTGTCCTATTGTTCGCAGATTGTTGTTCGAGTATGAGAAAGCGTTAAACAGTGTCAAAATGGATGCAGTCTTATCTTTTGTCAAACAAGGAATACCTGTCTCATACACAACATTAACTGACTGCTATCGAAATTGCAGCGCAAAAATATAGCTTTTCTGATAACTCTCACCTTATTAAGAAAGGGGGTTTTATCATTCGGCGCTCTATCGCCAAATCTGTCCAGTGACGCGTTCCCGTAAATAATGAAGTCGTTTCATTTAGGCAATGACGGCAAACGTAGTGATGGCAAACCACCATGGAACCTTCCTGTTGCGGATAACATCGTTATGTTTTTGAAAAAAAGTACTGAAGCATAGACGGTGCTCAACAAACTCAACGAAATCTGTGAAATAGATTGGAGCTCGCACAAACTTAAGGAAGATCCAATTTATGAATAATCGACGATGCGAAGGTAAAGCATTCAATGTGGATGGTACTGTGATAACGATGACCACCTCGCACGTATATCTTGGACGTTTAATAAACATGGAGAGCAACAGCGAGGAAAAATCAAACAGAAGAACGAGAGCAGGGTGGGCCACATACAAAGCGCTTCTAAAGGAGCCATCGACTACATATAGGACCTCAAGCTCTGTGCTCACTCATTTGATTCAATTTGCCCCGATCAGATTTTTAATCTTTGGGATCTAGGAGAAGCATCGGTAGAATAACACAGATCAGAGATGGATCGATCACATCTGAACATGAACAAATAACAGATGCGCAAAAAGAACAGTTTAGTGCACTCCGAGCGGGCTCAGGTGTTCTCATGGAAGACCACTCAAGCAATAGACGGACGTGCTGTTGGCTAGCGTCAGATATGTGCATCCGGTGATGGTAACGCGTCTGAAATTTCGGAACGAGCCATGAGTACATTACCATGTTTGAAGCAGACCACCACCATAGACGATAAGTGTGTTAAAGAGAAGTGAATGAATTTCATGCTAGTACCAATACTGCTGAAGAGACGGAGCCATCCATGTATCTGTGTAATTATGTTCCAGTAGATTTTTTGATTTATAAAATGACGTGCTTCCAGCTGCGGCAGGCTGTGCACCGACTGCGGTCATTTTGGAAACTGAAAAAAGACTCCTGTAGCTTTCAAAATGAAACTATATATTAATCAAAATAGAAGTCAAAATTGAATAACGCACGTCGTGGTTGTGCACCAACAGCAGTCATCGTTGAAGCTGAAAAGCGTAGTTTTTGCAATGAAAGGTCTAAACGGAGTTGTATAACGTGTAAGATAACCTACGTCCACCAGGCTGCGCTCTTACTGAGTCACAGTGGAACCTGAAAATGTGCAGATTGACATACTCAAGCATAATTACTCTAATGAATAATTATCCACTTCTACCAAGAGCTCCCAGGTAGCGCAATAGGTACTGTCATTGGAGGGACTGAAAAAAGCGCTTTTTACAGGTTTTTAAATGACAACTTTGCTTAATCAACTCATGATAGTGTCAAGAATGACCCAGATACTTACTTCAAGCCCTCCACCAAGCTGTCCTCCAACTGCAATCATTGTAGAGGCTGAAAAAAATGGGCTTCGACATATGCGAAGAAACGATACATCCATACTATCCTATCACAACCGAATGTTGCCCCGTAAAACTGGAGTCCTATATCTATATGAACAGAAATCAGCTTTTTTTTCCGTAATCACCAATCAGTAAGGCGCGCAAATCAATTCGAGATATGGTTACAAATTGACTTTTCAAGAATACCTCTGCATGGGAAAGAGAATCTATAGAATAGAAGAAGACACACAAGAAGGTTAAAGTTAGAAGACGGTTTGGTCGTGCACAAGC